TATTTACTAATTTCTCAGTCCACGGCACTGGGACTTTCCGCAAGAAAGGGAAGTTCAGTTGCCAGTCCTGAAATTGTAAAGGGGAAAGCCAAGTGTGCGTGTGTTTGTCTGATACATGAATTAGTCACCTTGCTTGCTTCTGGTGGATAACTAACAGGCAGGGCCCCTTCTCTTGGGGTCCCTGCCCGCAGATTCAGGCTGTTGTCTGTTTGGGTAAATACCCCAGTGACCAGCTCTACACATAGGCTCTCCACGCTGGGAGGTGGGGAAGGGCTCCATGCTGAAAGCTATGGCAAACATCTCTGTACTCCCACTGGAAAGCTTTAGAGCCAGAAAACAGTGCATTGCTCCATGGCAGAGGGACGCTGTTCCCCAGCCCAGTCCCGAGTGATGATGGAGCTCTCAGCTTCGGTCAGGGTCTTGTTTGCTCACAGGGCTCCTTGTTCCAGCTACTTATTGAGTCTTTTATCAGACTGTGCTTGTTCACAGAAGCTGAGGGAGGCCCCAGATTCCTCGGCAGATGAGCCAAGCAGGGTGTTGATTCCCGCAGTGCGTCTGTAGGAGACAATGAAAGGAATGTCTCCTAGAGCAAGGTGGCTGCTGGAGTCCCATGCTCAGTGGCCAGTGGATTAGGAGCATTAGGACTTACCAGGATGCAGTCAGCAGCACTGTTTGCATCCCCCCTCAGCCTTTGTCTCTCTCTGTTTGGGGGTTGGACTCGATGATCTTCCGAGGTCCCTTCCAGCCCTAATGTCTATGAAACCTTTCAAACAAAGAGCTGAACAAACAGCTTCCTCATCAACCCAGCCCACTCCCCTTGCCCCTTTGTCAGGAGGATGCAGTCCCAGCCTCCCCTCTGTGCCCACACAAGCCAGGCTCTAATTAACCTGAGAACTGCACAGCTCTGCTGGCTGATGGACACGGGCAGCTCCAGCTGAGTTTACAGAATGACTGGAGGAAGGAGAGCGGTTAGTGGCAGGGCCTGGAGATGCTTCCCCAGCACGGTGTGGAGCTGAGCTGCTGTGTGGTGGGACAGAGCAACACTGGGAGGAGTTTATTAGTCACCGAGTGCTAAATGAAAGACGTGTGTGGTGTCAGATGGGTTGGCACCTTCTTGGAGGGTAACAGCAGACACCCCACAATCAGGACTTGAAACCCAGCCCCCTCCAGGAGCCTTGCTCTTGGCCTGAGATGTTCACAAGGATGCAGGTGCAGACCAGTTCCCACCCCCCACCTCTAGCCCAGAGGAACTGCCCTCCATTTAGGGGCCTGAGCCAACCAGGGTTGGACAAAATATAGAAGTGTAGAACTGGCCGGGGCCTCCTGGGCCACAGAGTCCAATCCCTTCTCAGAGGCAATCGCTAATGTTGCCCCTTCAAACCTCCCACACAACCTCAAGGCTCAGCACTCGAAACACCAGGAGCACCCTCACACCTTCCAGGGAGCTTAGGGCACTGCCATTGTGCCAACAGGGAAGTTGTTGGTTCAGAGATGCTCAGATCCTAGGAAGAGGACCATGCCCAGGCTTCAGAGAAAGGTGAAGCCCCCACAGTCACTGTCAGTCCGATGTAGGGAGAAAATTCCTCCCTGAACCTAAATTTGGTGATCGGACTGACCCTGAGTGGAAGCACTTGGAGTTTACTAAGTACCAGCAGGAGCATTGGTGCACCTCAATCCAAATCCCCACCTAAGCGGTGACCAACATCCCAAATTTCAGAGCAAAGCATATAATGAAAATAAAACAACCAACAGAAGTCAACTTCATTCACAAGGGGGGAAAGTCCTTCCTTGTCACTACAAGCAACCAGCAAATGCTCTGAAGCATGAGACCACCACCTATGACACTACAAAACCCTTACCACGTAGCATCTTTACACCTCAGATGGAGATATATGACTGCACAAATCACACACAGGGATTGTTGAGCCTGAACTTCCTGTTCTATCATAATCTCCCTTCATTAAAATTGTCCAGTTCATTCTTGAAGTGATTCGGGTTCTTTGCCCCTACCACTTGGTTTGGAAGATCATTCCAGATTTCACTCCTCTGGTAAGAGGAACTCGTCTAATTTGCAATCTCAATTTTTTATTGAGTCATAACCACTTTGTAGCCATTTGATCTAAGTCTCATCTATTGCTCTTGTCTTATAGAAGGATACTATAGTAGTCTGAAATGATTTTCCTGTGACAAATACCTGTTTTGTCCTGTGTTCCAGTTTTTTTCCACATCTTTGACTCTTTTTCTTTCAGCAGATTCACTCTGCACTGAAGAACCTAAGCTAGTCCCTGTTATTCACTGTGCTTCAGTATTGGATACCTTTTCATTCCCGCATGGGTTTTAAATGCCTTTGAGTTAACCTTGGAGCATGCTGGATACTGGCCATACTGGCTGCGGGTGGTTGCTGCCCCTAGCCCTGTCCGGTGAACACACAAGCATCTCTCACACAAACACTCCTTAGAGACACGGGTCCTGTGGAGACTGACAGTCGGGATGAGCACCAGGCCTGTAACTGCTTCTCAGAGCTTTAAATTGGCCACTCCTTCAATGGAGATAACAGTGCCTGCCTTGGTAAATGGCATGAAATAGCATACTTGGTGGCAGCAACCCCTTCCAGGAGTCCTCTAGTACTGTACCCACCATGCAGATCTCCAGCTGGAAGATCCCAGCATTGTGAAGGCTTGGCAGGCTGCAGGCAGCCCCCTGGGACATCCCTCCCCGGCTCAGCAGCTGGGTGGTGGAGGACTGTACTTGGGTCAGCAGTTAACAAGCACAAAGCAAGTGGCTCTTTGGCAGTGCCACAGAAGGTTATTGTCTGCCCTCTCCAGCTCCAGCCTGAGTGACCCAGGCTGTGATGGCACTGGCAGCACTAGGGGCTTGGGACAAGTGGTGGCTAGGAAAGGAGCAGGGGGCTGGTGGGCTTCCTGCTGTACTAGCCTTGCAAGGCTGAGAGCCATATTTAGCTGTGTTAGTCTGAAGTTAAGTAAGGCTAGGGATAAACTCAAAAAGCCTGAGCCTGAATTGATTCAACCTTTGCAGGTTAGTCTAACCTGGCTAGGTTGAACCAGTTTCCAACCATACAGACATTCTTTCTGGACCAAGGAAATTCAGGCACATGCCTGCAGTGGGTCAGGCTGGAAGCCAGAGGGGAGGGGGGCACTAGAGCAGCCCTCCCTTCCCTTGCAGAGCTGAGCTGAGCGGGGTGTGGCCAGGCCCCAGCAGGGCTCTGACTATAGAGGGGTGTAAACCCCCAGCCTGCCTGCAGTCCCAGGCTTTTCCCGGCTCGCTGTTCAAGGAGCGGGAGTGTTGCCAGACCCCGGTCCCCTGCTAGCACTCTGAGGCAAGGGAAGGGGGTGCAGTGCACACATCTGTTGATGATACGGAGCTTTTCAATCTCCCTCTCTGCTTCTGTATCCTGTCCACAGCAAACTGACAGGCAAGCAAGCCTCCCTCAGGCCTTGCAGCTATACTAATATGTATTCCAGGTCCCTCTACTCTCACTTGCATCCTTTTGGCTCCTTCCTGCAGGAGAAAGAAGTGCTTCTTCCTCTGCTCGCATTTCCCCATAGAAATGTCAACATTGCCCAAATATGCTGAACTGGGCCTGGGTAGGGTAAAGGAGAAGGGGTTGCTGCCTTTCTCCAAAGTGTTGCTTACACATCAGAGTTAAATAAAAATTAACTGAAAACCAGAGCCAGCTCCCCAGAGGAGAAGGCAGAGGCAGCTATTTTGTATCCCCTAGACTCCTAAGGCAAAAAGCAAAAGCCCCTGGCAGGAACTGGGAGAAAGGGGTTATGTAACAGGAGACCCCAGAATGGGAACTCAGCTCTGCCCTTTAAGAAAGAAAGGACTCCTGAGGTGTCTGCAGAGGTATTAAGAACAGCTCTGCAGGCACAGGGAGCAGATTTCCAAGAGTTCAGCTTTAGGTGAGTGGCTGGATTTGTGAATGTACACAGGCTGTTCCCCCCATCCCCAGCTAGGCCTAGTGCGCTGATGTCCATCCCACCCTGGCTCTGGTCAAGCATGGAGGGATGGACCATACTGTACGCTGCACGAGCTGGCGGCAGCTCATCTGCAAGGTGTGCTTTCAAGAATAAAACCCTTGCCCTGCGTGCAATATGTGGCTGAGTTTGGGGCATGCTCCTTCTACCTTCTCAGTCCTATCTCCCCTGCTCTGTGCTGGAAAGGTTCACAGGTCCAGATTTTAACAGGTTCCACTCAGCTTCCATTAAGCATGTGACAGCCTGTAGGGCCTGAAGGGAGGGAGGTGTCTGCAGAATCTCAAGGGCTTTTACAGAGTGCTGGTGTGGTTTGCTGCCGTCCTGGACCCAGATGCCTGCCCACATGGTCCCTTCTCTGATCTATTCAGTGACCCTAGAGCACTAGACTGCAAAGCAAAGAATTGAAGTAGGAAGCAGCTGCTGGTGTAATGGAGGTACAGAAATGCCACTGGTGCCAAATGGTGCTTGTCTCTGTAAGTACAGGGGGCTGGAATGCACCCTGGCTCTAGCTGATAGGCCCTGCTTTATTGTCCCATGAAGCCCCATGTTGCCCCACAGGTTCAGTCTGCATGTCCACACAGCAGCTTCCTATCATCACTCAGGAGCCTGCAGAGGGGAGCAGGTGCTTTCCAAACCCTCTGCACAGGACCTGGGTCAGGCACTGTGGTGCTTTGCACAGTGAGCTGAGCCATGCAGTTGGCTTGCCAGGAAGGTGCTGCCCTGCTGATCAGAGGGGAGAAGGGCATCTTACAGTGTCTGTCCGGCGGTTTCTCCATGCATTGAGCTCCACCTCTAGGCTGTGCTTTAGTTCCCACCTGTGGTGTGTCCCAGGCAGAGTCAGCATCTCCGTAAGATGGGGCTGTTTCACCCTCCTCCTCCTACAGCAGCCAAGTTATCCCAGTCCTGCTCTCAGGTCCTCCCAGCTCCCCTTCCCCATATCTGACTGCAGACCACCTTCCAGGAGGTGTTGCTGGGCAGGTCTGGCAGGGTTCCCACCAGTGTTCACGAAGTAGCGGTCACGGTGATTGTAACTTCAACTGGGGCATCCTCAGCAGCGACTTCTGGAGCTGAAGGAGTCTCCTGTGTCATGGCAGGTGGTGCTGAACTGCCCTCTGCAAAAAGTAGGAACACACATGCTCAGGGAGTCACTCGAGGAGCAGACTGCTGCACCTCCAGGGGCTTTGGTGAGCGGTGGAGTTAGCAGGCATCGCTATATACCCTATTGCCCTCCTATAGCAGCCCAGGTGCTCTGCTAGCCCATGGCATCCAGGCACAGGCACCTTTAACCCTCCTGCTCCAGGGCCCAAATCAGCCACTTTCCTGGGGCTAAGGTTATTTCATAACTGGTCCCTGTTTTTGGGTCTCCTGTCCCATCTGATCTTGGCTCCTCAGGGAGGCAGGGCACTAAACTTGTGCTGCTACCTCTATGCAAAGGACCCAAAGTCTCCTTGCCTACCATTTGCAGCTCTCCTGGTAGCAGGAGGATCCAGATGTGGATGTGTGTGAAAGACAGGCTCCTCCCCACACAGCCCTGTCTCCAAACAGGTCAGCATCACTCACACATGCGTGCTCCCCAGTTACCTGCTGATGCCTCTGCCTCAGGGGGAGCAGAGGCTGCTGTGCCGCTGAGCCCCTCGCTGCCTCTGTCTTCCATGCCTGATGCAGTCTCAGCGTCTTCTGGTGTGCTGATGTGCTCACGTACCTCCAGGCCAGCCCTGGAGAGCAGTGGATCATATGCAGCTACTGGAACAACCCCTCCCGGCGCTCCAGCCATGCAAGAGGAGGGATATGGGGCAGGGGAGGAACCGCCCGTGAGCCGGACCCCGGCAGTATCTTGAAGGCAGGGAGGGGCTGAGTGGGAGCAAGGGCATGAGCACAGTGGGGAAGGGGGCGATGAGGCAGAGGGGCTGCAGTAGGGGAAGGGGCTGTATGGGGTGGGGAAGGAAGAGGCATGGGGGGGG